CAACATCAATTTTTTTTCTTCTTAATTTGCCCCTAATAATACATCATAACGTTCACTACAGACTGAATATGGGTTATTTTTTATCTACCCGGAATAAATAAACTTGCTGCTGTGGTGAAATAAAGTTTCTAAAAAATGAGTCAACACTACATGTGAGCAAAAATAACACAGAAAAACTCCACAACTGCGTGGAATCCCCCCACCTCATATGTAAGAACCACTTAATGTAATTTTCTTTTTTTGTCTTTAAAATACCAAATGCACACTATAGAAACAGCTCGTTTTACTCTCTTTACAGCATGGCGGATGGTGCGATTATATATTTGTTTTCTCTTCTAATGGTCTGTTCTGAAGGTAAGCTGTGTTCAGTATTCTCCGATTTGTTTTTAAAGCTGTGTTTTGTGGATGGGAGAAGAAAAAACGTTTCACTCGTAATTATTAGAAACTGATCTCAAAGAGGTCACAAGTATGATTTTTGTTTTTCATCTGAAGCCATGAGAGATTCTATACGAACAGTGGAGACATTAGATTTTATTTCTGTGAATATGGATTATTTTCATTAAGCGTTTACTGCAGCTGATGCTCCACACGGAAGAAAAAACTGTTCTTAATACTGGTTTAGTGAACATGTTTATTAATAAATTTTCTCTTCCCATTTTTTTTTTACTCTACAACATTATCACTGGAGTATACCCAATACACCATTCTAGTATTCATTAAAATCTTCAGCAGTCAGGAGATGTTTGGTACAGTATGAGTATTGTTCATTTTGTAAAAACATAATGTTTAATTGATTCCCACTTTTTATGTTAGATAGCAAAATATGAGATAGGCCGTTTTCATACTACAACTAAGAATTACTATTATTATTTTCTGCCTGTCCTGTCCAGAACTGTAGTAATCAGAAGTGGACCTTATGCTATACTGGTCCACTTGATTGTTATACACTGTAAAAAAAGAATACAGTACAATCTACTCTATAAACGTGAAGGAATTTTCCGTATTAGTCATTTACAGGTATTTTTCTGTATGTCTCAACTACTGCAATGCATTGTGGGAAAAAGAACCCGAAAAGGAGGGAAAAGTAAGCGCAAGAGCAGCCATTAGGCTTCTTTCAGGCTTCATCTGGATTTTGAACTCTGGAGTTGGAGAAACTGCATTAAAATTTCTGTGGTAAGTATTAAAACTCATGTTTTCTTTTATTAAAAGAATATTTTTCAAAAGACCACGCATTTTTATTTAGAAAGAATTGTTAATTTATTTGTTAACTGGTTTCGGCTGTCTCCAGACAAGTCAGGAATATTTTGCTGACTCATTTTTAAAATAATCGTTATTTAGGTTTAACATGAATTTATGTTAATTTAAGTTAATGTTAAAAAATAATTTTTACCGTGATACCACCAGTTTTGCCCTTCAGTGGCTGAACCAGTTTTCATAAATATTACAGTTAGCTGTCTGTGTCTCTCTGGGTATTACACAGCTGTGACTGCTAACTAGCTAATTAGCAAAAGTCAGGGATGTGGATAACTGGGAAAAGTGAGAACTTCATGGTTCTAGAAATTATTCTAGGACAACTGTTTTACAGTTGGCTCTTCTGTACACTTTAAAGGGTTTCAGGCAAAGTTACACTAACCCTAGTTTAAGCCTCAGACCTTCCTGGCTGACGCTAGCAAATGCTAATGTTAGCCTCTGATTTGGGCTGCTAAAGTAAATACTTTTAGCTAGCTGACCAGCATAGATTATTTTGGTGGTTAACAGACTGTAGTGGTAATATTATTGAAAGTATAGTTTCACCTCAGCACATTTACAATTATGTCTATTTTGTAGCACATAGAAATGTTTAGTTAATATTTACAGACAGACACATTTTCCCTGTAACTGTATTTTTACTCCAACATTTGTTGAAAATGTAATTTATGAAATGCTGAGCAGCATTTCTAGTGTGTGGAATATTTTTGTCACCCCACTGTGCTAATGTGATTAAATACTAATAATTATTACGAAATAAATTCAATAATAAATCAATAATAACTATTTATTGATTGAACTATAATGTAAGCGCAGTGCTGGTGTGCAGGGGATTTATATGCCTTGTGGGGGATGCTGGCATATTATAAACTGTTGTGTCTATATCAAGCTTTTAGAAACGTTAGAAAAGCCTGTTCTAACGTTTGAGTCTAAGGTTTATTTTGAGCACCTGACGGCTCTTTTTTGCTTTTCATTCGTAAACTCTCTCGAAACTCTTTCATGTGGTTCTTGTGTAGGTGGTTAAAGAGGTTTGTCGTGTTTGAGTGGTGGTGGGGACCAGTTTGTGGCATAATTTGCATAGTACAGTTTTCTGGTCCGTGTCAGACTTTTCATAACCAAACCATGTCCATGCTACAGAGGTAGCCCCTCGTTTAACAATAAGGTCCTCGATTTCTTTTGACTGGTCCTTCTGTTTGGAGCTAGCTGGTTCTGCCTCATCCTTGCTGGCAATGCTGGTATTCACTGTGCCTTCATCTGCATGGTGACTGTAAGCGCCATTTATAGTTACTTGATGTTTTTATTTGAGGTCATTTGTTTGATGCATATTCTAAAATTTTATGTTTAACAATAATGTATATCATTTCAATTTATTTTGAAAAGTCTCCACAGAAACTTGAGCTTTATTGTGAAAGGTTTATGTGGAAAATAAACAAGCGGACGGCGGAGCCACACAATGGTTTTACTGTCATTGTTGGTAACGAATGTTGTTTCTCTTTTTTTCCTCAGAATAAACTGCGACTAGTCTCAATGGCTGAGCCTGAGATTCATTTAAAGCTCAGATGGACCTTAATGGACTAACATGCAGGCTGCATTCAGGACTTTGTCACACTGGTATATGAAGAGTGGTAACAAGAGAAAATGTGCACACACAATGTGTCACTTTACGCTTGCTCTTCTCCAGCCTCTGGTGTCACTTTGTAGTAATTTGTCTTACTATTGTCTAATTATTTGTAATTTAGGGTCTGTGCACACAAGCAGAGGTTTTTGTTTGTAACCGTAACCTCGTTTTCAGAGCCTTGTCTAACATTTAATGGTCATGAAATATGTCAGACTTTTTCCTCTACTTAAACAGCTAAGAGCATTTGAACACCGTGGAGAAAAAGGTGTGCATTAAGGATTTTGTACTATGATGTTTAAGTGTTGTCACTGCTGAGGATACTTATTCACTACGCTGCTGTTTACAGTTTAACTTTTCATCAGAACAAGCACTTCTAATTGTACTTTGCTCCTCACTGACAAAACAAGTCCAGTAAATGAACTTTTATCTTTAAGTTTGGGACAGTAATCTGTCTTAATTTATTTTGTGTTTTAGTTATCATATGGGGAAAAGTCCTGTGGTTATCCATCCATCCTGTTCGAATAAACCCAAAGTTCAGGAACATTTACTTTAGATCTGTTCAGTTTTAATCATGTGGCACCACTTAAACAGTCAAGTATGTTATATTGTAAGGTAAAGACCCCAAAGAGTTAATCTCGGACAAATGTTCAGACAAATGTGAATTACATTCACTTCATTAATGAAGTGAATGTAATTCACCTTTGATTCAGTAATCAAAGGTGTTTGGCTATAACAGACTACATGTGTATACTGTACCATAAGTGGACAGACATGGATGTAAAACACACCTTAACCATTTGTCTGAGGCAAAACTACCACAAGGCAGTGATTCTAACTAAAAGGCACTCTGGATATTATTAAATGTGAACATATCGTTAAATATGACATTTTTTGTTTGTCAGGTGTTTGAAGAAAACACTTGGTAGCCACTTGAATGAATGTAAACAAACACATTTACATGAGGGCAACCTGATTTCAAGGAAATAAAAATGCTCAAATTTGAAAGCTTGTGAGTTACTTTGTTCATGTATCAGCTGTTTAGTCGTTTTATGACAAGATGGATGCTGTCGTTATATTTTAGTATAGTGTTTGAGTTAAAGAGAATAAATGAATTTTTAACATTAATTGTACCAATGTTGTTGTGTACGAAGCACAAATTAATAAAAAAAAACCCTATGAAGCAAGCATGAAGGAGAACCGGGCCCTCTAGAGCACCACTGCAGGGGCAATGTTTTTAACATTTGACACAGCTGAGCGGCGTGTGTTTAAGGAACGGACTCAAAAGCAGGCACAGGAGAAATGTACTGAAGTTTAACCAAAAGTGAGCCTTTATTTCTTTCACTTATTGTTGCATGTGTGTTGTTGCTGCCTGTGTTTGAGTAATTTCTGTAACTGTGAGACACCTGCTGCTGCCTATCTTGGCCAGGTCTCCCTTAAAAAAGAGGTTTTTAATCTCAATGGGATTTTCCTGGTTAAATAAAGGTTAATAAATAAATTATTGTGGCTGACACAAAAAACAGAAAACCAGGCAAGATGACATTAGGGCGAAACAAAACTAAAACCTAAACTGGGAAAAACTAAAACTATCTATGAAAACGATGACAACGGACAATGAAACTGAACAGGAACATGCAACCAACGTAACTATGAAATAATCCAAACAAAGGTAACGAGGGAAGTGGAGACACAGCTGATACAAATGAACATTACGCCACAAGGGGAAGTAAAACAAAACACACTGAACATGGAAACACTGGACTCCTCGAAATAAAGCAGGAAACCTGGAGAGACTGGACACGAGAAGACAAGCTTGATAACCTGAAACACGCAGACAAGAAACACATGAAAGACTGACACAAAAGACAGAAAAAGACTGACACAAAAGACAGAAAAAGACTGACAAACACAGGGACATAGATAAAACCTCAACTAGACTGAAACTCAACTAACTCCTTACTAATAATAACCAAAGAAGAAGTAAACAGACTTCCAATATAACATAAGAAATTGAAAATAAACTCGAAACGTGATTATGAAAAACGTTACAGTGAGATACCTACAGGTGTTATTGCAGCTGATAAGTAGCAGACACACACTTGGTGCTCATGCCTCACATGTCTATTTGTTTGTGCAGCTCTAACAGCAGTGATCCAAACACAGCAGACTGTGCTGGCAGCAGTGGGAGAAGATGCTGAAGTCAGCTGTCAGCTCTTGGAGACTAAAGACGTCCTTCAGGTCACATGGCAGAAAATCTCTCCTGATGCGGAGACAAATGTCGCCACCTACAACAAGTACTTTGGTCAGAGAGTGAATGATGGCTTTACAGAGAAATTTGGGTTTAAGTATACTGGACTACAGAACTGCTCCATAGTCATCAGGAATGTGACGGAGCAGGATGAAGGATGCTATCGCTGTCTGTTTAACACTTATCCTGAAGGAGCCTTCACAGGTAGAACCTGCCTCCAAGTCTATGGTGAGAACTTTAACCTTCTTTAACCAACAACAGGAGACTAAAAATACTATAGTGGATTGATGTGATGATATCTCCTGATCTTTCACAGAGCTGCATGAACCTGTTGTTGATGTCAGAGAGTCAAACTCTACTGAAGAGTGGGTTGTTTCCTGTTCAGCCACTGGTCGACCTGCTCCCACTGTAACACTCAGTGTCTCACAACAAGACCTCAGCTTCTCACAGTACAACACTGTCAGTGTGTCCAACACCAACGCTACATTCACTGTCACCACTACAGCTGTGCTCTCAGGTTCACGTAAACACAGCACACAGGTGGGATGTGCAGCACGAGTGCTCTCTGCTCCTCACAGAGAGGTGATGGCGACGATTCCTGATGATAGTAGTGGTGATGGTGGTGGTGGTGATGATGATGATGATGGTGAGAAACTCTTTTAAAGTCACTGATTTATAATTGATGATTACACTGTGATTGTAATGTTTCCTTTTTTTCTAGGTCTAGATGAAAACTTTGGATCTAAACGCAGAAATTTAGGTGAATTCACATTTATATGTTTTTGAGTTCAGTTTTTTTTCCATCTTTTTTTATTTTATGTTTGAATTAATTTTTCCTTCTTTCCTCGGTTTTCTCAACAGCAATCAGGATTTCAGTCATTCTGTCCTCTGTGTTGCTGGTTGCCTTTATTTCTGTTGCTGCACTCATTTTTGCCCATCATAGAACAAAATCTCACAACAGGTAATCGTATTAAAACGTGTCTGTGTTGCATTTTCTCCTGATAAATGTTTGTGCAGCTTTGAGTGTTTTAAAATCTTTCAGTTTTTCACACAGGAATCTCAAGATAAACAAGACAGCTGAAACTAAGATCAGAGACAGTCAGGAGTAAGTCACTCTTTATCCCGTTTTTCTGCACTGTTGACATTTTTTAATCTTCCTTCGGGCTCTTTTTTATTTTCATTTTTCATTTCTTCTAATAAGTGTCCATAGTCCTCTGTTATCATTTTAATTTCAAGCCTAATCTAACACTAACCACAAACACTTAAACACTTTGCTCACTTTCCTCTGTCCAGGCTATTTCTCAGAGTACTTAAATCATGTGATCAAATAAAACTATTTCTTATTTTCATTGAAGGACTGAAGCATCTTTATTCACAGCAGAGGGCAGTGAGGTCAGAAACGAAGGAACGTCTGAGAGAAATCACCAAAACAACAACCTGATGTTCTCATCAGAAGCAGCAGGAAGACTGAATTTTGAGCAGTGCTGAACAAATGTATTGTTGATGTGACTGGAGATTAAAAAAAATTGTGTTATAAACCACTGATGTGATTATGTTAATAGTTTATCGACAGGTTATTATTATTATTCAGTTATCTTTGATGCTGATATATCATTAATGATGCATTGTGTCACTTTACATGTATGAAATGAAGACTTAAGTATTGTTTCAAGTTGCCGTTTAGGTGCAGATATGATGCAGCGGGTGGAGTTCAACATCAG